ATTTAACATTAAACAATAACCGTTAACTATTGTATAATCAAACGGTTATATTAATCAAAATCCACTATATACTATTTATTATCCATTTCTTGATATCCATCATCCATGACTTACTACTGTTATTTATTACCTGTTACTTACTATTCATTGAATTTTAACTATTACACCAATTAGGGCCTTAATATCCCAATTTCATTTTCTTGCGTTAGTCCCAAACTTTGTTACGGATTCGACACCAAAAGTCCTCACCACTAAACCGGGCTTTACGATTTGCTATATACGCGCTAGGTGTTGTGGTTTTGATTTGGTTTAGCATTGGTTCTGTGGTAGGTGATGAGATCTAATTTGGTAAGGTTCAAGAACATGATTTTGTTGTTTTTCTCTATTGGTGACAGGATTTCGACGCTTGGTTCTGCTCGAGACAGTGTGACGCTATCCTAATGCATGGTTATAAATGAGCTAGAGCTTTGGTGTGGTTTAACGTGGTGGAGGATTGTAGCTTTAGTTATTGTCTGAATCTCAATGTGTATGTGAAGCGATAACCTTCCTACTTGGCAGCTACTCATGACCCCATTAGCAATTGTAATATAACATAAACTGTAGGAAGATAGTGCTCTATGTGCTCCTAATCTCAACATTAAATAAGAGAGTTTCTTGTAAAACTTGTCAACATTGCATTAAACATCAAAGCTAATGTTTCAAGGCAGACCAAAATTTATAGAATTAAAAACGTAGACTCTATTTAGTATGACTGTAATTTTTAGTTTTTAAAATTCAAACAATTAAAATTAAAAATTGAAAACAAAAATTAAATATTAAAATTACCAACGTATTAGGCAAATACCCAAAACTCAAAACTCTAAATTAATTTATAAAAATTCTTAATTTTATTCTAGGAATTCTATATTTTTTTAAAATTACAATTAAAAACTCAAAACTACAACTATACTAAACAGAGACTTAATTAATTAATCCATAATTACAAACCTATAAATATATATAGCTTGAAAACAAAATCAAATATCACATACTATGCCACACAGAAGTAAATCACTTTGTCATACCAATAATTTCAACACATTCATTTTTGTTCAACACAACTTTCATACCAAACTAATATGAAGTAAATAAAGTGAATAAATTCTCATCATTTATTGAATGATATATATATATATATATA